ATAATATTTCTACAAACAGTTTAGGCACAGTCATCAACACTTACCATTTAGAGAATGATTTATATCAGTATAGGGAACAATTTACCCACCAAGTTCCCATATACCAGCCAAAGACCAATTTTGCAAACATTCCTTCTTAAGAATAGTAGGCTCAGGCCTTCTGTGTTAACTCTTTTCTGCACAGTAGATAACATGCAAGTTCAGATAGGTAATGCAGAGAGATCTAAGCTATAAGGAGTCAAATGAAATTATGAGAAATAAAAAACATGCTAACAAAAATGTAGAATTCCTTTGACAGGATCATTGATAGACTTGATGAGAAAAGAATCAAAGAATTGAATAAAAGACAGTTGAAATTATACAAACTGAAATGCGAAGAGAAAAACAAAATGTAAAAATCTAGAATAAGCATCCAAAAGGTATAGGATGATATCAAATGGTAAAAAAAGATGTATATAATTGGAATCCCAAAAAGGAGATGAGAAAATAAAGCTAAAGAAATAATGAAAGAGAATTTTCTAGAGCTAATGCTAGACATCAAACCGTAGATCCAAGAAGCTCAGAGACCACAAGCAGGATGAATACCACACACACACATACCCATCCATACACACACCTAGACATTATACTTAAACTGCTGGAAACCAAAGACAAAGACAACAAATCTTAAGCAGAGGTCAGGGAGAGACACACTGCCTATGAGGAGCAGTCGTAAGAAGTACAGCTGACTTCTAACTTACAATTGAATTTTTAAAAAAATAATATAGACACATATCTGTAATATCCCTGGAAGTAAAGTACAATGGAAAAGAGACCTTAATCTCAATATTTCAAAGTTTACTTTGAAATGTTTTGCATTTTGGTCCAATACGATGTATAGTATTTTTAAAAGATCTCTGAACTCGGGGGGAAAAAATTTTAATGTCATTGCTGCCCATACTAATGCCATAATTTTGATCAGCACACTTGACTGTCTTGAGCCATGATTTTTCACATTCAGAAAATGAAGATGATAATTATCCATTTATATAGGGTTTTACAAGAATTTAATTAGAAAAATGTATGTGAAAATATTATGAATCACTGATACATGTAATATTTCATTTGTATTGAATGTCTTACAGGAGTACCAGCTCACAATTGGAATTAGAAACTGGATGCTCTGGGCTGCCTATTTCTTCACATTCTTTGTTTTTCATATCTTTATTATTGCCTTAATATGTATGTTATTCTTCACTAAGGCAAGTGTTTAGTTCCATGCTGTCCAATAGAAATATGAGTCACATATGTAATATTAAATATTTAGTAGCTATTAGAAATTTTAAGAAGTAAAAATAACAGGTGAGATTATTTTAATAATATATTTAATTTAACCCAATATATTATTCCAATATGCAGCCAATTTAAAAACAGATATTTTACATTCTTTTCTGTACCAAGTACTTGAAACTCCAGTGTGTGTTTTATATATACAGCACATCTAAATTTATGTGCTATATTTTCATTAGAAAGACATGATCTGTATTTGACACTGTATTTAAATTAGAAAGTTTAATTTAAATTTAAAATAACTAATTTAAGTTAAAAATAACTAAAATTAAATGAAAGCAAAAATTCAGCTCCTCATTCACACTAGCTACATTTCAAGGGCTTAACAGGTGTATATCATTAATGACTGTAATAGCGGGCATCTTAGTTCTAGCTGATTGCACCTGCTGCAGCTATCCTATGAGAAGGAAAAGGTAATCAGTGTGAACTGATGGGTGTCTGGTTGCCAGAGGATGACAAACGGCTTTTATTGTCTCCACCGTGGAAACTGAGAAGCTGCCAAATCTCTGAGAAAAATGTAAATCTTTCTGTAAGAAATAAGTTATTTAGTTAACTTTCCATCTCACTGAGTTTCAGTCACTGGGCGGCAATCGGTTTCATTAGGGCCATTATTTTCTCTGTCTTCCTTTGTGCTCATATGATTCTGCTTACTGTGTACTTTACATGATATACTTTTTTATTGTAGATTATCCGTGAGCCACTCTTCCGCTACAGTGACTGTGGTTTCATCTTTTTCTTTCTTACGTGTTATGCCATTGCTTCGATATTCTTTGCCTTTATGATTAGCACATTCTTCAGTAAAGGTGAGTCTAAGACTTCTCCTCTAACAGAATTACTGTTTAATGGACCAGAATAGGATCATATTTGGGAGTTCCTTCCAGCCATTTCGTGTATAATCTCGGCTTGCATTTTAACATAGAAGATGAATTGCAAATGAAATGATTTGACAGAGTTAGAGGGTGCATTGAAATTTAATGTGGCCCAATACATATATAAAAAGAGACTATAAAATAAGCTAGAACTTTAGAATAAATTAAACAATGCTTCCTACAGAATTTGATTGCAAATCACTTCTAAAAGCAGATCAAGGGATGGAGATGTTTATTCATTCATTTATTCATTTATTCTGCATGTCTTCTTTGCACTTAGCATGTGACAAGACTCTATACCACATGCATAAAGACAAAGGGAAATTGATTCTCTGTGAAAGCCCACACAAGGAAAATATGTGTAACCAGATAACCCCAGATTGGTCTATTAATGGTTTTGTAGAAATAATTCTCTGCTAATGGCGCTGTTCCCTTTAATTGTGTCTTTCTGCTTCTCCCCACACCAGGACCTTTGCCTCAAAGGAGGGGTTTGCTGAAGCAAGTGGGTCTCTTGCATCTAAAAGAGGTCCAGTGCTTTGCCTTTGTAAGCGTTGGCCCACAGCCACATCTTTTCCCCTGTCATGGCTGTTCCAGCTCTAGTGCTGCCCTGTGGCATGGTATGAGTGTGGCCAGAGTACGTGCATGGCTTGAGCTGGGGCATGCAGTGAGGCAGTTGCGGGAAAGCCAGCAGCTACCGGGGCAGACTTTTCTCTGCCTCGCTTGGGGCAAGCCAGCATCTGCAAGCTCCTCACGAGGGGAGTCGAGGCTTCTCCAGCCTTTTTCTCTGTCCCAGCAGTTCTCCGTCCAGCCACGGGGCTTGTCTCCTCCACACAGGACCTCTGGGCTGGGATGCCCAGTCTGTGGCTCAACCTGCTCAGCCCCCAGGGCAGGTGTCTGTGCAATCTTCCTTTACCTCTGAGTCCCCTCCTAGGGACACAGGTTCTGACCTGATAGTTTTTCTTCTCATCGTATCTAATTATGTGTGTTACCTTACTTATTGCCTTGACTTTACAGTAGTCCTTCTGCCAGTTTGCAGTTAGTTTTCAGTGAGAATTATTTCACGTGTATTTTGCTGTGTTCTTGGAGGGAGGTGAGCTCCACATCCTCTTACTCCACTGTCTCGATCTCCTGTCTTAATAACAATCTTGACAAAAAGTCTTTTCCTGACTTACTGGATATCATATTTATGGACCTAACCACATTCAACTCTCCACAATTAACTATTTATTCAACTATTCTTTCTTTGGAGTATCATGATCTAGATTGGAAGCATGCATTAAAAACTTTATTCAGGGCTTTCTAGTCTACCCATAACCTCAAACTGCCTGGAAACACTAATATATTCAATTTATGTTATTACTGATGGTGTACATTTATAATTTCTCAAGCTAAGTGATCATGAATAAATAAATTTTAGAAAGGAGAAAATAATTTTCTGTAACATATGTATGAGTCATTCTTTGTTTAAATGACTGTAAATATTTATCGTATGTGGTAAATATCCTATATATTAATTTATTCAACACATATTAACTGAGTGCATGCTGTGTTCCAAACACTGATGATATGAGAGTGAAAAAGATCAATTCTCTTCCCTCATAGAGCTTGCGTTCTTTTCCTTTAGTATATTTTATTTATACACTAAATAAAGTATTTATAATTCATTATTTCACATATTGTTTAAACTGACCTTATAATTTCCTTCTTATTTGCAGCCCGTTTGGCTGCTTCTGCTGGAAGCCTGATATATTTTGCCAGTTTCTTCCCATTTAATTCCGTTGCTCAAAACTTTGGAGAAATAACCCTCACCAGGAAGGTGGCTTCATGTCTCAGCTCAAATGTTGCAGTGGCCCTGGGGATTAAACTTCTGGTCACGCTGGAAATAAAGCGTAAGAGTTTGCCTTGCAAATTTGCCCTTGCTATTTGATTTCTAAAAAGATGGAAAGAGGCATTGTGGGTGGGACAGTGGGTGACGAGGTAAGAAAATGTTATGAAAATTATTTATCCTCAGATTTAAATGTAAATTAAATTTAAATAAAGAGAATTATGAACTATAAAGATAATCGGAAGTGTGGAAAAGGGAAAGTTCCCTTTCTCTCTACAGTAAACCCACCAGTTATACTGTCAAAGAAAAAAATTATTTGAACTTTCTGTTCTATAACTTGCTTTATTCACCTGATAATATCTATTAGACTTCTTCCCACATAGAGATATGCTCCTGCCTTTTACAAGGTTGTTTAATATTCTATTGCAAAGGAGTACTATAATTAATTAATTACTTCTCTATCATTGTACATTTAAGAGATTTCCAGTTTTTTGCTATTACCCACTAGAGTATGCATATATTTACTTATATGGTATGTATACTAATGTAAATAAATTCCTAGAGATAAAAATGGTATCTGATAAGATATTCATAGCTTAGTTTTGATTGCTATTATGGTAACCTTCAAAAAGTGTAGATCAGCTTATTGTGCCACTAACAACACATGCGTTTTTCTACATCCTTCCCAATAATATATTATACTACTCTCATGTAAAAAACAAATATAGCTTCTTTATTTCCTGAAACTAATTTTCCTCCAAACTCTATACTACTGGGCTGAACAAAATTAATGTAAATCTAATCCAGTGATTTATTCAGGTTCTTCTGAATGAGTCAATCTTTGAGACATCTTTCCTTCTTGGACTCTTCAAGATGATATGGAGGGGGATGGAAATTAATGAGCTCTCTTATGATGGAGAGAAATGGGGACCGCAAATCTATGTGGCATCCTCTGGATCTTTTACCTCTATAGTAGAGTACCTGGCCTGAGCTGCTTTATGGACCCTTACAAACTGAAGTGTCACTGTTTACATATGGCCCATATTGGACAATATGCCGGTAACGCATCTGTTAGAAACATGGTCCTGGCTGTCTTTTCTAGCCTTAAAAGTCCTCACCTATTCTCTGCCTTCCTCTGGCCCTCTTTGAAACCCTTTGACCTTCACAAACACTTGCAAAGTTATGCAAGCTCTGAATGTGACTTTTAAGATACGAGGAGCCAGTAGCATCACTTCAGGCCCATTTATCTAGTTGTCTCTGCCTCACTCTGCCATACAAATGCTACCATCATAGAGTGTTGGATATTTCTACACAATCCCCTCTGAAGGTTTCTGCAGGATTTTCCCTGAAATAGAAAAACCTAGGATTTTACCTGTCTTCTGCAACTTAATTTTCATTCTTTTCTTACGTAGGAGTGAGGAGGGGGCTGCCTTTCCTATTTGTCTTTCTAGGAGGAACATCCTTTCCAAAATGACATTTACATTATGGGCTTCATGGGTCACAAAATGCCACACACAGTATAAGATAAGTATAAATGGGCCATACATTGGGTAGTATTTCAGATTTTTATATCCTTTACACTATCAAATTATTTCACCTTTTCTGCTGAGTGAAAAAATAGCATCTAACTGTATTTTAATCTGGGGGGAGAAGAGGAATCCTATCTTGTTACATAAAAAGATTTGAATCCTTTAAGTGTTGTAGATAGTGTAAATAACTATCCTTAGGCCGTGACTCATTTATCTTGTGTTCACGGTATCTTTTTTTCCAAATATTTTTAATTTAATGTAATCAAATATGTCTTTTAGTTTAGCCTTTCCTTTAGTTTGTATACTTGAGTTTTCTTTAAGGAATCCTTCCATACCCAGAGTCTTAAAGATAATAATTCTGTATTTTCTTTTACATTTTATATTCTCATACTTTTACATATTTACATGTGGATTTTCAATAAGCATAGAATTGACATATCTATTTGTTATTAGGTAAGAACCTAATTTTATTTTTCACATGAAAATCAAACTATTGCAGCCATGTATTGGGAGTTTGTTGTTCTGTACTGCTTTCTCATTCCACCTTTGTTTTATATCATGTCTCCATTTGTGCATGGATCTTCTTCGGTACTCTGTTTCAGGCTGTTGATCTTTTTTTTAGTCTGTTTTGTGTCGATACCACAATGGTTTTGCTTGCTATAGCTTTATAATAAGTCTTAATGTCAGTTACTCTTGTCCCCATACCTTCAGTTATTCTTTTCACTTTGCTTTCCATTTGTACGTTAAGGTCACTTTGTCAAATTCTATGAAAACTCTTGTTGGGATTTATTGGGGATTTCATTGCATTTATTGGTTAATGAAGAGGGTTTAAGATACTTAATTTTCTCATCTGTGAACAAAATCTCCCAATGAATAGCCAGTCACACATGTGGTTTCTTTATGGATACTTTGATCATTCTAACTTTATACACAAAACATTGAAAAATTAACTAGACTTTATCTAGATATGGGATTTCCATTGGCTTAATCTGCAACAGAATGTACACCTTTAGTTTTCTGAGTTATTTTTATCAGGGTATTTCATTTTATTATTCAGGTTTTTTTATATTACTTATTTTATTTTTCAGGAACTCTTATTTTGAATGGAAGAATTTCTCAAGTTACGGTAGAATTCCTGAATTTTGTGTTCTACATTCTCTTTTCATATGGTTTCTAATTTGCTGTTCATTGCCTCTCCAAATGACTTTCATTTTGATAATCATCTTTAATTCTACCACTTTTTTCTCAGACTGTTACCTTTTCAAAGACACAGTGCTCATGAATATTCTTCTCATAGTGCTGATCTATAGGAGAGTGAGGGCTAAAATAGAAGAAAGGATGGGTTTCATGGGCCACTGTTGTCTTCATGTCTTTCCTCTTTGAATTAGGAGTTCACTGGATGCCCTAATGCTTTTTCAGTTGTGCTAACTCTGTCCAGAAATAGAGAAAGTAGAAGAACAAAGGATTACGTGTCTTCTTTTGGTGAAAATTTTTCCCATTTCTGTCAGTACTGTGAGCAGAATTTATTTTTCTCTTCTGCTTGGTAATCACCATCCTTCTCTAGTGCTGTTAAATAGTTTTCCAAATGTATATATCCTAATGGTTATTTCAGTAGGAATTTAGCATGAGGGGGAAAGATAGACGGATAACTTCTAATAGGTCTGGTTTTTTTCTTAGCTTTTCTGTTACTGTTTATTTTTGTTTCGGTCATTGACTTTGTCTATTTATGTTGGTAGGTTTTGAAGGGAGGAGGGAGGATATCAATGTTATTATATATTCCATCACTTTCTTGGATGACCTAAGGGTGTAAACATACAGATAATTCACAGTGGCAATTTAGGGTATCAACTTCTTTCTTTGCTGTTTCAGTCACAGAGCTGTCATCTATGGTATATATCTCCTTTTTATTTCAGGAATTGGTGTTAAGTGGGATAACCTTTGGACACCAGCCAGCCTTGACAATAATCTCGTCCTGGGCCATATGTCGGGAATGCTTTTACTTGATGCCTTCTTGTATGGCCTTGTGACCTGGTATATAGAAAACGTCTTTCCAGGGCAGTATGGCGTGCCCAAGCCATGGTACTTTTTTCTTATGGTGAGTTCTAATGCTGCTGTTATTATGAAAGACCATAGTCCTTATGAGCCTATTTCATGATGTTTATAATCAAATCAAAAGGGCATGAGAAGAATCATTTTCATTTGCATACCATCCATATTGAAATGCTATAGCCATTTCTTAATAACCCTTAAAAGCCTTCCACAGATGCAGGTGCACAACATCTATGGATAACACAATGAAACACCATACATTGAAAATTTTAATATACCCCTTCTTCAGCCAAGTGGTACATAGTGGATTAAATCAGAGAATAAAGAAACTTCTGCAAAATGTGCTCCCAGTTAAATGTGATGTTTTCTTAGATCCTGGTGAGGAGAGGATCAGGTATTTCCCATATCAGTTTTCTCACTGCCTGCTTCCTTGCGATGGTTAGAACTTCTACATCATGCCCTTCATGTTTCCTTAACATTACTGGATAATACTGGTACAAAGAAGGTGTTCTGACCAAGTGTGATAAAATGCACTGGCTGTGATCTCATTTTTGAGTAATTCCATTTTGTCCCTACTTCTTGAATACTAGCATTTTAAAGAGTTTTTACTTCTAAACCCTGGAGATTCAAATCATGCATAATTGTGCTGCAAACATAACCCTGAAACTATGCAACAGCTTTCTCTCTCTCAGAAAGTAAAGCAAGCCGAAGTGTTTTTAATTCTCAAAGTGCCTCATTTTTTTTCACATTTAAATTTTCAATTCAGATGAAATTCATATAACTTACAACTAACCATTTTAAAGTAAGCAAACTGGTGGCATTTTGTACATTTATAATATACTTGCAGGTATCTAGTTTCAAAATATTTTAATCACTCAAAAAGAAAATTCTGTACCCTTTAAGAAGTCACATCCCATTTATCCCTATCCCAAAGCCCCTAGCATCCACTAATCACCTTTCTTTTTCTATGCATTTACCTATTCTGGATGTTTCATATAAAGGGAATCACACAATATGTAGTCATTTGTGTCTGGCTTCTTTCATTTACCATAATTTTTTTATGTTTATCCATGTTATAATATGTATCAGTACTTCATTCTGTTTGATTGCTGAATAATATTCCAGTGAATGTATGAAGAGCAATTCCTTTATCTGTTAATCCATAGTTGGATATATAGGACATCTTTGAGCTATTGAGTAGTGCTGCTGTTAATATTTGTATACAAGTGGTTCTTTGAACAACAGTTTCAATTTTGGGCAGACTGTATATCTAGGAGTGGAATTTGTGACCATACCTCAGATTGGCAATTCTATGTTTAATGTTTTCAGGAACCATCAAACATTCTTTTCTTTTATTATACCTCTTTATATATAAGGTGGTATCTTGATGTTTTGATTTGCATTTCCCTAATGAATAATCATGTTAATATCTCTTCATGTACTTGTTGGCCATTTGTATATATTAGTTAGAGAAATGTCTATTCAAGTCCTGTGCCCATTTTAAAATCAGGTTGTTTTGTCTTTTTTTATATTCTGGACACTAGACCCTTATCAGATATATGATTTGCAAATACTTTCTTCCATTCTGTGGGTTGTCTTCTCACTTTCTTGATAGTGTCCTTCATGCACAAAAGTTTCAATTTTGATTGAATCCAGTTTATCAATTTTTCTTCTGTTGCTTGTGAATTTGGTGTCATATCTGAGTAACCATTGTCAGATATAAGGTCATGAATATTTACCCCTATGTTTTTTTCTAAGAATTTTTTGGGATTTATCTCTTATATTTACATCATTCATCAAATTTGATTTAATTTTTATACAGTGTGAGGTAGGGATCCAGCTTCAGTCTTCTACAGGTGGATATCCTGTTGTCCCAGCAACAGTCTCTGAAAAGACTATTCTTTCCCCATTGAATGGTCTTAGCACATTTGATATAAATCAGTTGGGCATAGATGTATGGGTTTATTTCTGGACCCTTAATTTTATTCCATTGGCCTATATGTTTATCCTTATACCAATACCACACTGATTTGATTCTTGTAGTTTTATGGTAAAGTTTGAAATCTGAAAGTCTCAGTATTCCAACTTTGTTCTTTTTCAAGATTGTTTTGGCTATCAGGGGTCTCTTGCAGTTCCATATGAACTTGAGGATCAGCTTTTCTATTTCAGCAGATATGCCCATTTAAATTTTTATAGAGATTACATTGAATCTGTTGATTTTTGAACTAGTATTGCCACATTAAAAATATTGTCTTCAAGTCCATAAATTTTCTGTTTATAGAAGTCTTATTTAAATTATTTCAGCAAAGTTTTATAGTTTTCAGTGTGCAAGTCTTTTACCTTTTTGGTTAACTTCTCAAGTATATTAATCTTTTGGATGCCATTGTAAATGAAATTGTTAATTTTCTTTTTGAATTATCTGTTGCAGGGGCATGAAAACACAACTGATTTTTGCATGTTGTTCCTGTATCTTGCATCTTTGCTGAATTTGTTCATTATCTCTTCTAGTATGTGGGGGAGGGCATTCTTTGGGCTTTTCTTAATAAGTAGGATCTTGTCATCTTCAAACATAGATAGTTTTACTTCTTGCTTTCCAATTTGGATACCTTTTATTTCTTTTTCCTACCTCATTGTTCTGGCTGAAACTCCCAGTATAGTAATGAGTAGCAAGGGTGAAAGCAGGCATCCTTGTCTTATTCCTGATATTAGAGGAAAAGCCTTCAGTATTTCACCATTGAGTATGATGTTAGCTGTGGGTTTCTTCATGAATGCCGCTTATCATTTTGATAAAGTTCTCTTCTTTACCTTTAACACACTTTGTCAGAGGCTTTATTTGCATCAATTGAGCTGATCATGTGTGTTATTTTCCATGGTTCTATTAATGTGATGTGTTACAGTGATTGACTTTCATATGTTGAACCACTCCTCCATTCCTGGGGTAAATCATACTTTATCATAGTCTATAATGCTTTTGATATGCTATTGCATTCAGTTTACTGGTATTTTATTGAAGATTTTTACATTTATATTCATAAGAGATACTGGTCTGTAGTTTTTTTGTGATCTCTTTGACTTTGTTGTCAGGGTAATGCTGAGATCATCGAATGAATTAGGAAATGTTACCTCCTCTTATACTTTTTGGAAGACCTGTAGAAGCTTTGTTGTTAATTCTTATTTATTTAAATGTTTGGTGGAATTCAAACAGTGAGGTCTTCTGGTTCTGGACTTTCCTTTGTAGGGAAGTTTTCATCACTGACTCAGACTTACTTGTTATCAGTCTGTTCAGATGGAGTGCTTCATTCTTATGCTCATTTTGGTAATTACCTTTTGGCTTTCTTTGTAGCGCTCATACTGGTTTGGCCAACCAAGAATCAAAAGAAAAAAAAGAAAAGTGAAAGATGGTGAAGTAACTCAAAACAAGTATTTTGAGCCTGAACCTACCAGTTTGGTGGCAGGTATCCAGATCAAGAATTTGTACAAGGTATTGTTTCAAAGGTCTCTTTTTCCTATGAGGATTAAAGCCATAAAAGGGCATTAGAATTGTTTGCAACTAGACATTCCAAGAAAACAAATGAGATGCTTAATCAGGAATCATAATTAATAAAGTCCTAATTTGAAGCATTCATAGAATATATTAATAGCTTTACAAATATGATCTTATTTGCTCTATCTACTATACTTTTAATTTGATAGGCTTGCAACAAGTGGTATATGAATTTTGTACTTAACTCTGTGAAGAAGATAAACTTGATGATGCAATAGTAACATCTGGGCGTGTGGTTGGGAAGGATAACACTAAACATAGTTAAAGGAAAACCTCTCTGAAGGGATGTCCTTTGAACTGAGACCTAAAGAATGAGAAGAGCCAATTGTTTGAAAAAACTAAGAGAAGAACACACGTGTTAGTTAGAAAAATAGCAAGTTTGAAAACCCTGACGTTCATGTGCTTTAGGAACAGAAGGAAGACCAGTATATTTGGAGGCCAAAAAATGATAGTAAATGGCTTCATTGGGAAGCCACTGATTGGTTCAAAGCACTGGAGGAATATACGTTTTTTTTAAAGATCATTTTGGCTACAATGTGGAAAACGGGGCATTGGAAAGTGAAGAGTAGAAAAGGTTAAATGTAGGAAGAAGAAGGCAAAAGGGTACTTTCTTTAAGAAATGATAATTAGACCAAGGTGGTGGCAGTATACATGAAGAGAAATGGATGGATCCAAGATATTTTCAACAGAACTGAGAATAGTGGGAAATTGGGGACATTGAAGGAAAAGGAGGAAACTGGAATGGTTCTTAGATGACAAACTAGAGCAACTAATACAAACTCTTTCTGTTCTTGCCAAGTTTTACTAGATTTTCTTAAATAAATGAGTTTTCTCTTGCTGTATTCTCAGATCGGTTTCTGAAGACTTTGAAGTGGTTGTTTTTTTGTTTTGTTTTGTTTTTCAATTTTGACCAGATTTTCTTGTTTCACTGGGGAGTGGGTCTGTGGAGCTCTTCATACTTATTTCCCAGAAATGGAACTCTCTATTAACTATTTTAATGGATTCAGTTTCTTAAATTTTGTTTAGAATGTTTTTATTTAGGTTTATAATGGGTATTGGTCTATGTTCATTTCCTGTAAGATGTTCCTCTAGTTTTGATACCTGGATAATGCTAGCCTCGTAGAGTGAGCTGGGAAGTATTTCCCCCTTTTCACTTTTCTAGAAGAGCTTTTGTACAACTTATATTAATTTAGTTTCCAATTATTTGAGGGGATTTTCCATAGATATTTTTGTTATTAATTTCTAATTCAATTCTGCTTATGGTCAAAGAAAGACACTGTATGACTTGAATTCTTTTAACTTTATTAGTTCTGATTTTATGGCTCAGACTATCACCTGCCTACATGTGTTATAAATATTTAAAATTAATATGTAATCTGCTCCTGTTTAGTGGAATGATAAAAAATGTCAGTTAAGTCAAGTTAGTTATTAGCTCTTCAAATATTCTATGTCTTCACTGATTCTACATATTCTAATAATTATTGAGAGAAAAGTGTTGAAGTCTTTGAAAATAAATTCCTTTTTCTATTTCTCCTTGTACTTCTGTTACTTGTTACCTCATATATTTTGAACTCTTGTTATTAGATGCATAAACATTTAGGAATATTATCTCTTCTTGAAAAGTTGATCTCTTTATGATTACAAAATGACATTCCTTATCCCTGGCGATACTCTTCACTCTTAAACCTACTTTGGCTAATGTTAATATGGCCACACCACTTACCTTTTTTTTGTTGTTATTGGATTATATATTGTTTAATAACACTAAGACTTACAAGTTATCAGTTTTGTTTCAGTGCAAATTCAAACTTTTTTTTCACTTTAAAATTGTAAAAGGCTCTTCTTAGTTCATTGGCCATAAAAAACAAATAATGGACCATATCTGAATTTACAAATTCCTCCTAGGAATCTCAAGGATATCTGTATGTACTTTTATCAGTCACTAAAATTCTGACTTAAATCATGGCATCAGTTTTTCTGACCATGGGTGGCAGCTTCTGTGAGCTTCCCTAGCTCTTGCTACAGTTGAGTAAGCCCATAATTACTATATGATATTCTTCATGCACAGAATATAGAGAAATCTCCATTTTACTTACCAAATTAAGTTAGATATACATACCACTGAGACTTCACCTTTATTTTGACTAGTATACAAACTCAGTTCACCTACAAGTATTATTCCATGTTCACAGCATCATCTTTTTACAATGTGAGTTTATGATATGGTATTTCTTCTAAGGATAAAGGATATAAGTGTTCATCATTTGTTAAGTGATAGCCACAGATACCAAGTTATTCTTTTCTTTATTCCACAGGAATTCGGTGACAAAGTAGCAATAAATAACATGTCATTGAATTTATATGAGGGTCAGATCACTATTCTTCTAGGACAGAATGGTGCAGGAAAAAGCACAACCTTATCTATTCTCACAGGTATGCATTCAGCTCTGTCCAGAGCACAAGTCAGATTCCTTCTAAAACTGTAAACCAATCTACAATTTATAGTGTTGAATATAATGTCATTTCAATCTTGCAGTTATTATTACAGTTTCAGTTATTTAAAAACCAAGATGCTCCAAATGATACAATAAATTCATCCATTTTTTTGCTTAAAAATTTATATGCCAATCCTTCTATAGGAATTAATAATACAGTGGGGATTTCAACTTTCTTCCACTCAGTTTTATACTCTGGTAGAGATACCCACAAGAAACTTGAAGCATACAACAAAGCATGAGTAAGAAGGGAGATGTAGGATGCTATTCATCCAACAGAATGACATCTAACTTGTTTTGGTGATGAGGAACATGGAAGTGACATCAAATGTGAGTCAAATAGGAAGTATAAAGAGCTGTTAAGGGAAGAAAAGGAGAATATTACAGGTATAAGCAAAGAATAGGAAACTTAAAGGCATGGCACATCTATATGAGTAGACCAAAGAAGGAACTTAAATAATAGTAAAAGATGAAGCTAGATGAGTAATCAAAAAGTCAAATTATAAAAGGTTGGGGAAGCCATGCTGTCAAGTTTAGAATTTATTCTGAGACCAATGACAAGCCACAGAAGAGTATTTTATGAATGTTTATACTTTAGAAATATTGCATTTACTAGAAAGGAAGAATGGATAAGGAATCTTAAGGACAACTAGAACAATGAATCCAGTATTGTGGGTGAGGTTAGTGTAAGTCCTAGAGGGTGGATCAGTGCTCAGCCTAGTAGTTGAGATAAAATAGCCTCTCCTTTGATACAAGTGATTCCAAAACTAAGATAGGAGGGGCAGACACTACTCATATTCTCTGCTGTTTTGTATATTTGAACTGACACTCTCTAAGTCTCAGTTAAAACCCTTTTTAAAAGAACAACTATCTAGCTAACATCATAAGGTTATGATTTGAATTTTCATTACCTTCATGATGATATATATATAACATGTATAGTTAATGTAATTTACATAAGTTATCTTGGAACACACTATGTGCTTTTTTTTCTTTTTGTGGTGAAAACATATATTTATTTATTGAAGTATAATTGACTTAAAATATTATATAGTTTCAGGTGTACAACATAGTGATTCAGTATTTTTATGCATTATGAAATGGTCACCATGGTAAGTCTACTAACCATCTGTCACCATACAATACATTGTAATATTACTGTCTGTATTCCTTATGCTGTACATACATACCCATGACTTTATTTTATAACTGGAAGTTTGTACCTCTTAATCTCCTTCACCTATTTTGTCCATCCTCCCATTCTTCTCCACTCTGGAAACCATCTTTTTGTCCTCTGTATCTGTGAGCCAATTTCTGTTTTCTTATGTTTGTTTGTTTTGTTTTTTAGATTCTACATATAA